TTGTGACTGGACCCTGCACACCAAGCTGAGAACCATTAAAGATACGTAAAGATAAAGCTCTCTCTAATCAGGAATGGAAAGCAGCCGAGAGGCTTTAATTGTTTTACTCCACATATGTCATGTATGAAGCATCGTTAGAGACTGTGAAAGAGTAAATACATCCTATCATGGCACAAAGACAACTTACATTCCTAGAAATTATGAGTCAGTACAAGCTGATATTATTTCTCCATCTCCATCTGCGCTACAATTGTTTTTCCACCCTCTGCTTTCTAGCTCTCAGAGCAGTAGCCTTCCCCCACAGTACTGTAACTGAGACCAATCTGACACTGGCTGCTATTCATTAATATCAGTTTAAATGAGATAGGGAAAGGGACCTGTGTTTGTTGCAGAGATTATGAACAGTAATAGATTCTTTCTGGGGACTGTCAATCACTCCTGAGATTTGCCTGCACTAAGCTTTGGGCTTTAAATTTGTGATCAGTGATCGTAACACTAAATCCCACTTAAGGAAATGCTCAGAGTCCCTGTCAGAAAGGTAAGAGATATTTTTTTCTCCCTGGCTTGGTTTTAGCCCTCATGCTGGGTCTGTAAGTGAATCTGCCAGGCTATACAAGGTCTGAGTCCTCTCCACAGAGTATCTCTTTCCATCCACTGGATATCTCTTGCCACTAATCAGTTTCTTCTTGTCTCAGTCTGTCTTGCCTGCAGTTGAAATGCCATGGGAATTTCCACAGCTCTGTGGAACTCCCATGGAGTTCTTCTGCACTTGGCATAGCACCCCATCTCTCAGCATGCAGTGTCTAATTCTCTTTGCTTCCTAGCTGCTCTGGCTGCCTGCCTTCCATCATTGCTGCAAATACTGAGCTGTGCCTCAGCCTTTTGCCACCCTATCACCCAGCATTAATCCCCAACAGCTGCCCCGTGGAGAGTTCTTGAGGAAACTACCTTCTCTGCCATCCCACACAGACTGTGCCTGTGGCCCTGCCTTTACAGATCCTGTAAATGCCTCCCTCTCAGTCCTGCCTGCACTGGCTCTTTTGGATCTACACTGCTATTCAATACAATAGTGAAGTCCCCATCGCCTGGAAACTGAGAGACGACCTTTTCTTGTTGTGAGAACATAACATTTAAAGGCATCCCTTGGGCTACTCTATCTGGCAGCCCAGCTGGTGCTCTTTTGTGTGAGTGCCACTCTTTTGAAATGCCAGCTCTGGTCTTAAAGGCAGCCAGCAGAAGGTACGGCTCACTGTCCCTGTAATTGATTCCTCATCACTCGTCACTGGCCTTTATTCTACCTTTTGATTAGGAAGAAGCAATAATACAGATTACAAGACAAATGCAAAGATTGCCTTGTATGGGGATAGGTTACAACAAGGTTGCTGGTGTCCTGGGATTTTCCTCATGTTTGTCTGTTCCTGGTCAGCTGCAGAGATTTAGCAGCAGATAGATCGCCTGTCTTTGTGTGAGCCTCACCGTCAGGTGCCCTTAGGAAACGCCAGATGGGGAAGATGGGGAAGGGGTGACAATGACAGGAATACATAACGAAACTGGCCAGCTGGATTTGGACTCTGATACAGGAAACTAGGCATGATTGTAATATAAAACCAGGCAAAATGGGTGGCTGCAAGAGCTGGCGCTGGAGGACATCCCAGATGGGCCTTTCACATCTCTACCGGTGGAGGCTTGGGGGTTGGAAAGCAGGTCCCATTTTGGTTCTTCAGTTTGTGACCACTGGAAAGGCAGATGATGAGCTCAGGCACTTCTGTTCTCTAGTGTCTTCTCACTCAGGTCTCATAAAATGTTTGCTGTGTTCCTGAGTTCCCCTCTAATTGAGTGAGCGTTACTGTCCTCCTTGAATATTATCATCATATCATGTCAGGAGATACAAGTAGGTAAAAGCAGTTTGCTAAGTATCATGTGGCAAGTCACTTCAGAGCTATGAATGAATTTCTCACACCCCACACGTGCGTGGACCATGCATTGGCCACCTCCTGCAAAGTGGGATTTTGATATATATAGTCTGCGCTCTAGGAGGGGCACCTTACAAGCATCAGGTGGCTGGTTTGCTCTGAACTTGTGTGACATGCTGGAAGCTACATGGGAAGTGAAGATGATTAATAAGGCATGAGATGGGTATTGCTAGACTGCACAGAGGTAGGTGTGAGCAGGTGTGAATTCACCAGAGATCAGGAGCTATGGATGTCAATATCTACATAGGCTTCACTTCTCTTTTTAGCCTGGGACTTAATCCATGGATTTTCATGACTGTAAGTGGGATCCTGGAACTACATTTGTTTTAAGGCAGCGGGCTGAACCCAGAGCTTTCCCCTGGAAAATACAAAGCTCTGCAGCACTTATTACATCACACAATTGGCTTTTAGAGCGAGAGTGGAAAATGGAGATAAAGAAGCTCTGAGCAACTGGAAAGATGACTTAGAGATTTCTGTAGCCCAGGACTGCAATGTGTTGTGGATCTGCCTGGAGCTCAGACCTGAAGGTTCATTTCCAGGTACCCCTATTTCAGGCTACATGCCCTTGAACTTGGCTGGTGGCTTGTGGCAGACTGACACATGGTAGAAGGGAATAAATTAGAAGATCTGCTTAATCTTTAACGTCTACAACTCTGTGGACACAGTTCAGATAGGATAGAAGCTTCATCCCTATTTAGTTCCAAGTCCTGGAGTCTCTGCCATGCCTTCCAGAAGCACATTTCCAGGGACAGCTTTGCTGGGAATGGGAGGTGGTGTGGTTCTTTTCCAACCTCAGGGAGGCTCTGTAACTCAGCAGGGATTGCAGGTAGGACTATGAGATCAGGCTCCCCTTCACAACTCTGACTGATGTGCAAGACAGTCAGGGGCATGCTGTTCATCTGTTTTGACCTTCAGTTTTCCATGTGTAGACAGGGGTGGTGAAACATTGCATGTTGGGGGTAGGTAAGAGAGCTTCTTTTCCAATTGCAAACCATTTGAAGAATGTCTGTTCATACTCAGCATTGTTCTATTAGGGAATTCAGGGGCCAAAAGGTTGAAACATTTTTCCTGCTGCTACAAGGATGTGGAGTTGTCATCCAGGTTATGCTCAGGCTTGGTTTGGGTTTAGGCCAGGTATTCACAGCCAGTGTTTTGGGAGTACTAATCTGCGTTCCAGATACTTCTTTGGGTCTCACCTTGACTTTTTTCTCAGGGCATCAAAGCTCATTTGCTGCCTGATTTGTCCCAGTGTTGCCCAGGCTTTTGAGTGGCAGATCCTAGCTGCAAGTCGCCATATAGGATAGAATAGGCAACAGTCGGTTTTAATGCTTGCTTGCTAGCAGCTTCATAATAATTCTTCATTCACTCTCAATTCCACAACCTCACCAGCTCTGGTGTCTGTAATTAGCTTTCCTGCATTGACATTGATCGATGGGGTTATGTAGTTCCTGCATGGGCCATCAGTTTGGCCAAGGGCCTCCGTGAGAACTAGGTATCCTTCTTAGACAGACTTTTCCTTGTAGGAAACTCCTGAGGGCAGGGCAGACATTTAGAAACCAGCCACTCAAAACTGGTCTCAACAGAGAGAGAAACAAATTACGTCACTCCTTGTCTTGGGTTGTGGTGTGCATCCCAAACTGGGTACCACTGGGGAGGGGAATTGGATACACTCTCTCTGTCCCATCAGGCCTTCTTCTAGTTTTCTCAGCTGACTTGGTGCTAACACTTGTGAATATTTCCAGGCACAACATGCTACTCTTTCATCAGTTCACTAAATTATACGCATATTTGATTCTTTTAACCTTTTCTTGTAAGTCAGCCATTCAGAATCTAAGCATTTCATCATCTTTACTACGCATCTCTGAACTCCCTGTGATGTATTTCTCACTTTCTGACAGCCAGGTACTTGACGGGGATACTTCCAGGTCCCTGTCCTTCACACAGTGATGTGCCAAGAATGAAGAATTTCAGGGGATTATGTAGGAGGGAGGTTACACAGCAAAGTCTCTTTCCCTGCCTCCTCCCCTGACCTCTCACTTCTGCCTCTCAGTACGGCATACCTGGGCAGAATGCAGCATCTCAGGTGCAGAGAGACTATAGACAAATAAGTAAGGGTTAATATTGCCTCTCTGCTCTCAGATGTAATATGTCTGTGCATGGAGACCAGAAACACTGACGAGTGACAGCATGACTAGAATTATGATTGATCGATTGATTTTTTTGTTCACCAGCTGAATTTAAAAAAAAAAAAAAGAGAGAGAAAAAAAGTGTTTTAACCCTGAGTGAATGTTTAAAAATGGTTTTTCATTGAAACAAAAATGGGGGGGGGGGAGGAACCAGCTAAAAATATGCTGCAGGAAGACAAACTGAGATAGTTTCATTTGTGGGTGGAGGGCAGGGGACTGTGACACTGTTTTCAAAGTAAGAACTGGAAATGCTTTGAGATTTGTTGGGTTTGGGTTTGGTTTAATGGCAGATAAAACCTTTTGAGAGTTGCTTTGTTTGAAAGAACTTGCAAGTCAGTGTTGATTCAGAGGGTCTTCGTGTCCCTCTGAAAACGTGGGGCTGGGATGGTACAGACAGTACGGTAAAGGCAGTGCCCCCCCAGCACTGATTTCCTCAGGACATTTCAAGACTTGACCAGGCAAAGCCATGATACCCTCATGTAGAGCTGGAGACAGCTTCAAGCAGGAGGTTGGATGGGATGCCTCTGCAGGTCCCTTGCAGCTGACATTTCTGCCACCCCTTCTTGTGCCACCCCGGCCATGCTGCAGACTGCTTCTTCCTCATCCTGTGTTCTTTTGTGTTCATCTCTGTCTTCGTCGTCCCTTGGATAGCCCAAATGGATGAAGCATTGCCAGTGGCACTTGCCCTTCTACCCAGGAGAAAGCTGGCTCCCTGCAGAGGCTACCGCTGGGGCTCTGCAGGCTGTCCCTGAGCATACAGCTGTGGTTTAGGGCTGAGCTCCAAAGCTGTGCCAGCCCAGTACACAGTTGTGCACACCAGTGCCTGGTTTCTCTCTTACAGGCTCCTTGAACCTGCTAGTTCGTGTGCGGAACAAGCGAGCCATCGACACCCAGGTCTGGTCACTCAGTGGGAACAGGGGGAATATGTGGCAGCAAGCACATGTGCCCATCAACCCACCTGGGCCCTTCCAGGTAAGTCAGGTCCACAGCCAAGGTCCATGTGCCATGGACTGTAGGAGACTTCCCAGCAGAGATCTGCCTCCATGGCACAGGGGCTGGTCGGGCACAGAGAGGGCACTGGGAGCTCTCCACCCCCAGGGTTGCTGGGACAAGGCAAAAGCTTGGTGGCTGCACATAAATCAAATCCACTTCTCACTGAAGCCACTCAACATTGTTATGTGCAAGCATCAGTTTGAGACTATAAATTTTATGATTATTGCTCGTCTGGAAACCGCTTGTCAAAGAGCTCCTTCTGGTACCAGGTCTGTGTGACAGCTCTCTTGGTGCTGGCGGGTTGGTGTAAAGTGACTTTGAGCCTATAGGTTTCTTCTATCACGTGCTGCAAGAGCACACCCGCACTGTCCCTGTGGTTTAGGACTGTAGGACACCTTGTGAATACGCATGGGGCATTCTGTATCTGCTCATCAAGTGGCTTAGATGTACTCAGGATGTGAGCTGCTTCATCACTGGATGTTTTATTGCTGATGTTTTTGCCCAAATGCTGCTTTGCTGTTGTAGGTTGGTTTATGAGAGCTGGGCCTGTGCAAGCTGGTAAATTGTGGCACTGTGGCAAAATGCCCAGCATGTTTTTGAGTACTTTCAAATAATAATAACCTAGTTACTCTTGCAAGTGCTGTTAGTATTGGTTGGTTGGTTAGTGCAGCACCCTTAATATAGCATGCTCGTTTATTACTCTACAAACATACAGCACACAGGGGTTGGTCCTGTAAGCAGTGGGGTCCAGCTCTTCAGATCCTATGAGTACCGGTGAAACAGGAAAAAATCGTAAACTTGGGGACCTGATAAGATCTGGTCTGTGCCCTGCTCACCTCTGCAGAGCCCCACAGCGCAGGAAAGGTCCTTTTCAACTGCAGCCTCATGCTGCAATGTGTCCCATGCTCTGATTGCAGATCATCTTCGAAGGTGTGCGGGGCACGAGCTATGAGGGGGACATTGCCATCGATGATGTCACTCTGAAAAAGGGGGACTGCCCAAGGAAGCCAATTGGACCGAATAAGGGTGAGAGCGTACATGCCTCAGAGGAATCAAGTTGGTGGGAGTGCATACATGAACTCATGTGCTGGGGATGCACAGCTCATTTCAGAGCACATTGATGTTTTGGTGGGACTCAACAAGAACATTGACTCCATCAGCAGAAGTCAGAAGAGGAGTGTCAGACTCTTGAACTTGTTTTTTACAGTTGTGCATTAGGAAGAGCTCAGAGGAACAATCAGATCTTGTAGGGACTGTGCTGCCAGACACCAGCATGCTGAAGTCTGCACCTGTGTGTTGGGTTGGGGGTATCATCCCCAACCCAACATCAGCTGAAGGTTTCTGCAATGTGTCATTTCCTGGAAACCATAGGAATGGGAGCTTTGGAAAGGGAAATACCTTCTGCAGGCTCTAAGGGCCTCTGCAGCATTAAGTCAGTCCTCCTCCAGGAAAAAAATCTGCCTTTTGGGGCCTGGAGCCAGGGAGAGCTGGGCTTCTTCCCATTGTGCTCTGAGCAGGCAGGCACAGCCAGGCAGGATATTGCCCATGAAGGATGAGAGCAAGCTATCCAAGCTGTATATCACCTCCTTTCCAATCCTGACAGTGAGCATGTCATGGTTTAGACCCAGCCGGTAACTCAGCACTGTGCAGCCACTTTCTCACACACACCCCTTCCCCCTCCTGGGAGGAGGGGAGGGAAGGAGAATCAAAGGAATGTAAAACCAGCAGCTTGAGATACAAACAGTTTAATAGCTAAAGTACATTATAATACTACTAATACTAACAATAATGATAAGGGAAATAACGAGGTGAGAGAATGTAAAACTAAAAGGGAAAAGGAAAAAACACTAAACAGCAGTGATGCACAATACAATTGCTCACCACCGACTGACCGATACCCAGCCCAACCTGAGCAGCAATCGGTCCCTGCCGAGTGACTCTCCCAGTTTATATAGTGGGCATGACGTGCTGTGGTATGGAATACCCCTTTGGGTAGTTTGGATCAGGTGTCCTGGCTGTGCTCCCTCCTGGCTTCTCATGTCCCTCCTCGCTGGCAGAGCATGAGACTGAAAAGTCCTTGACCAGGGTAAGTGCTACTTAGCAACAACTAAAACATGAGTGTGTTATCCGCATTGTTCTTAGACTAAAGCCAAAACACAGCACTGCATCAGCTACTAGGAAGAAAATTAACTCTATCCCAGCCAAAACCAGGACAGAATGCTTGAGCTAAATCCCACCAGCCCCTTTCCGGTCCATTCACATCATCCTGGTGCAATCATTGCAGAAGCGGAGGTAATCCTACCCTCACTGAAGCACACTGTAGGTTGAAGCCACAGCTAGATGCATAAGTAGTATCTAGGCATTAGGGAATCACTGGTATGCCTCATGCCTTGGTCCTTCCTGTGCCCTCAATAACATATCTCAGGTGGGCAGGGCACCAGATGTTCAGAGTATGAAAACCAGAGCCAGACAGGCACTTTTGAGCAATGTTCAATTTGTCCTATTTATTTTTGAAGGAAAAAGCTTTGTGGAGGAAGTTTTAGCAACTTTCTTAACTCCAAAGAGGAAGGGGGAAACGAAACATTAAAAAAGTCAGATTTTTGAAATTTCAAGTTCAGGTAAAGATCTATTTCCGCCTAGGATGGCCCAACCAAAACACAAGCAGAACCTTTTGTTTGACTCAAGTTGAATCTTCTGGGGAAGAAAGGGGGGTTGAATTGCAAAAGTAACTAAGATTTAACCTTTTCTCCAAGTTGGAAAATAAATAGTTTTGGGAAGCCTTGAAAATGTCCAGGGGAGGCCAAAAAGATCTTTCAATATATCTGGGAGGTGCTTTGTGGTTTGACGTGGGAGGAGAGGCAGAGACACTGGTGTGTGCTGACTTGTTTGGTGATCTCTGGATCTATCCCATCACTAATTCTTTTTCTCTCTCCTTGGTTGGCAGCGGTTGCTCTTCCAGGAAGCGGTGTTCTAGCCCTGCACAGCCCTTGTCTTTGTGGCCCATTGACTTTCTTCCTTTACGTGCTGCTCAGATGATGGCAAGAGAGCGCTCCTGTCTTCGGACCGTCCTTTCCTACTCAGCCACCTCTGCTCCTCTTCTTCCCCTCCTCACTGGCACACCAAAGTGTCCATATGTTACCAAAGACTTGACAGGCATGACCACGCGAAGGGATCTGGTTCAGAACTGGAGCACTCCTTGAGAAAGTCATAATGTCTAGGACAAAATATAAAAATAAAGACAAATGTTTTTTAAAAGCACGTGCACGAGAATGAGAGAGAGAGAAGGAAGGAAAGAAACAGAAACACGCAGAAAAGAAGGAAAGTCAAAAAATAGGAATGAAGAAATGTGAAGAGCAAATGATGGAGGAAAGCAAACACCCCCATGTTTCCTTGGGAATGTTGGACAGGGCTTCCTCAGGGAAGTGGGAACTTGTTTTAAACAAACAAACAAAAATATATTAAAGCACAAATTTCTACCAGAACAGTTACCTTCTTTACTGCAGAGCCCACAGCTTAGTGGATGATACATCGCAGTACTCCCCTTGTCTCCCCATGCTTTTCCGCTGGCTGGGGCTGCCCCACTGCCAGCCTTGACCGTGGGGCAGCAGCCGCCCCTGGTGCCGGTGGCCAGAGCATCTTGCCTCCACCGCATGTGCTTCCATGTCTCCATCCATCTGCATCTACCAGGCTCTCATGTATTTAATTGGTTTGCTTTGGCCTTTCCCCACCGCTCTGTGCTTCTCACCTGCCAGCCTGAAGAAGATGGAGCAGGAAGGGACCCATCACATGGACCACGCTGAGTGGTGGACAAGTCCCGGCTGGATCGGCAGCAGCATTGGCCTCTGAGCATCTCTTACTCTCTCTCAGCACTCTTGCTGGGTGGAGAAACTATGAGAGCAGATCTGAGCTGCAGACAGAACTGTCTCTCTATGGGGCTGAGCGATGGGGCAGCATGGGATGGGAAGGGGAGGAGCACTGCACATTGGCTTCCCCTTGTGAATGTCGGGATGACAGTCACCTCAACCCTAAACCCAGGATTGCTTCTCTGCCTGTCTTTTGTTACCTGTTTATTTTGGTCTTTTATTCCATTCCTAAATGTCCCCCATCTCAAGCGTTTTGAATTATGGGAAGAGTCGGGCATTTGAACCTTCTTCAGCCAGACAGCAGGTCCTGTGCCCATGACCCAGCACCACGGCCATCAGTTCAGGCAGCTCCAATACTGCCCTCTCACCTTCTGAGGCCTTTTTGTACGCAGTGCATTAGCTGCAAGGTGGGCAAAGTATGGCAACAGCATTGCTGCTCAGGGAAAAGGTGGCTGAAATCTGTCAGCACGTGCAGCCTCACAGGCACTCAGCTTCCACTGCCAAAGCCAGTGGGCAGAGGAGCTGAAAGGTGGAACAGGCAGGAAGGATGGAGGCAAGAAGCTTGACCCAAATGAGAAGCTGAACTGAGAAACAGGGGAATGGGGATGAGAGAAATTCACCTTTTTCCTGTTGGCGTCTTGCAAGGTTAATGCTGGTGTCTGTCTCTGCTGCAGACCTGCAGCAGGTCTGGCCTGACCTCCTCAGGTCCAGATGAACTCCGCAGGAGAAGGGTCTGCCCAGCACCAGCCAAGTGGGAGCTGTGATAGCCTTGTTGCAACTGGGAGCAGGCCTGCACAGGGCAGAGTTAGCCCCACAGGACTGTGAACTGGGGTTTACTAGCCCATGCTCTGGCAGTTAGGTAAGTGGGACTCTTCCCCCTAAGGGACACCCCATCCAACTCCATACCTGGGGCACCACAGATATTTGATGAGCTAGCTCTCTCACTCACCAGAGCCCCCAGTACCCATGGCTCCTTACCCATTTCTGATTGATGTATCAGCTGCTCTGAGCCAACTCTGTTTGTCTAAAGATCACCTGAATGTATTAGCTGCCTGTGCATTGCTCAGCTTCCAGCAACAGCTGTTGCCTCATTTCCTCCACTGGTGGAGGGGGAAAGCTCTTTATTTAACTCCCAAGAGATCCAGTTTGAAGTCTTGAAACCCATCACTCTCTAGCTCCTGAAAGGGCATTCATCTGCACTAATGCTTCCCAGCCATCTTTGAAGAGAGAAAGGGCATCAGCTCCAAGGGACAAGGGGACCTCCTTCACAGGAGGCCTCACAAGACAGTGAGGGGGGGTGATACAGGTCTCCCTTGCTCCTGATGCTTTTCTCCACTTCCAAGAATGAGGACTGCGTCTTTTCTGTCTCAACTCCTCCCTCCAGAACCCAGACCTCAATCACACTGCATATTCGACCAGGAGACCTGTAGCTGTGTCCCAGAGCCAGGCAGTGTTGTGGGATGCTGTCAGTGTCAGCAGCGATTCTGCTTCTTGCTGTCTGTCTGTTGCCATTTTCGTGGGCAGCCAGTGCCACCATCATCTTTTACCTGAGTTCTTTCAGTTCTGTCCTTCCCTCCGTGCTTGTTGGAGGCCAGAAATCATCACCCCACTACTGAAAAGAGTCTACTTTCATTCCTAGGAGAGGCAGTGCTTTCCATGAGCCCTTGGATGCTTCATGATAGCTCCTGACCTGTCAGTGGCAAACCATATGTGTTATGTTGCTGGCTCTAGGGGACTTCTGCTGGGCAGAAGGTGAAGACAGGACCATTTCCCCATCAGTAAGAGGTAGCCCAGGGCAACCATCTGACCTTCTAGGCCCTGAGACAGAGACCCTTGTGGCTTTGCTTCTACTGGCTGCTTAGGCAGGGTTGTACAAGCATGTTTTGTTGATGTTTAGTGGGCAGCAGAAGGGCTGTGGGGCTGAGGAGGTGCAGTGTGAAGGTTCAGGATCACAGACAAAACATTATCTGTGAGGCACGCATCAGCCAAGGGGCACCACGTTTTCAGAAAGGGACACCTGCAGGGAGGGTGTCCGTGCCCTGTTGCCAGCTCCTGTGAGGAAGGATGTAAGTGCCTCGGCAAGCCAACCCACAGCACAGGGGCAGTTGGGTCCAGGGCAGAGCAAGCAGATGGCCCCAGCCAGAGGTGAAGCCTTTTCCTGCCGGCATGGGCTCATCAGCTTCAGTAAAGTCTCAGGGAGCCCCTTCCCGCTTAGACCTCTGCTCCTCTATCTCTGGCTAGAAAGCAGCTGGTGGTAAGTTTGGGGAAAAGTCATTAACCCAAGTGCCTCTGCTTGTCAGAAGTACTGAGGACAAAAGGAAGGACCTCATTTCCCTGGCAGATGTGCTAAGAGAGCATAGCAGAGGAAAGAGGCATTTCAGCAGCAAGGATGAGAAGTTGTGCAATGATGCGGGGGGAGGCAGTGTCCCTGCTCTCTGAGGACAGTGGTATTTGTGGTTTACTACCCCATGCTTGATGGGGCAATTCTCCTTGCAGTGGTAATGAATCCCAGGTGAGATATAAAGCCATGCTCCTTACCCCTTGTAATTAAAGATCCCCTCACACTTTTCGCAATGTTCTGGCTAAATTACAATCCTTGAACTTAATTACATACTGTCTTCTTAAATATCTCTTGCAGTCCCAACATTATATTTCTCCTCCCGATGTTTTATGTTGTTCTGTGCCTGTCGAGTTGCTGCTTTATTCCATTCCAGAAGCGGCTGCATTTCCGTGATGGTGGAGATTATTCCTGTACATAGTATGAAAGTCCCTGCAGAAGAAAAGTGCAATATAAATTTAAGAGACTGCTTTTATTTACAAGGAGACTTCTGCTTGGTAGTTGTAGAAATACATTAGGAAGAACGCTGTGTGGGTGTTAGCCAATATATACTCAATTTTTTATTTTTTTCAGGGTATAAAACGGAAAATATGTGAGTGTGCAGGCTCCTGGGTATAAGTTGTAGATATTAGAAGTAGTGAATGCTACTGTGAAGTTACAAGATGGGCTTACAAAGAAACTTCCATTTGAAAGCTCTTTTTGTAGTTGTTCATTGTATTCTGAAATATATACTTTTTTAATTATAATTTTCCACAGTTCAATGCAAGTCCAAATAACAGGTCATCAGCAGGACTTTAATCCACGGCTTTTAACCATGTGAACATCAATTCCTCCCACTTGCTTTGAAAAGCAACTCCTGGCTGGTACCAGTAATAGACTGCTTTTCTTCCACATAGATCAGCCACTGGAAAGCAGCGGAGCTAATATGTTTCATTTGATCTGGAGTTAAGTAATTTGGAACGCCCGAGTGCAACTCTTCCCAGATGTATGGGAGTGGAAAAGTATTTCATCTGTATGAAAAACCTCATGTAGTGCACAAACGGTTTGGAAGCTCCTAAAGTGAAATGTTGTGATTGGCATGCATGCAGAGCTGCCCCAGCAGAGCTGCCTGAAAAGCAGCTATGGCAGCAGTGATACGGAGCCCTTCTTCTGGGAAGTAGCTTTCTTCTGGAAAGAAATAGAGTGGTAATCAGGGAAAAAGAAGAGGGGAGAGTCAGATGTTTAGGCTGGTAAATTTCTTGCAGAAATAGTTTATAGATGTATGAATGAATGTAGTAAATATGATAAAAATCCTATTTTATTCCCTATTGCTATTCAAAGTACAGAAGTTTAATTTCTGTATGAAATCCTGTGGGTGCACTATCCAGAACAACATGAAAATGCTTTAATATCAAAGGGAGAACAGTGTCTGGATTCCTCCTCCTCCTCAGCCCACCCCTATCACTCTGTGTCAGGAAAAGCATGCTGCTTTTGGGTTGGTGTCCTGTGCTTCTCAGCTTGGGAGGAACAGTCACTGGGAGCAGCAAGCAGCACTGGTGGGAGAAGCATCCCTCCATCATGCCATCACTTCCCACAGCCTTATCTCCAGTGTGAAGCTGTCCTGTGCAAGGTGCTGACAGGATCAAGCCCTGCTCCCCCCTAGCTCTCAGCGAGACCGAGACAGGGAGTTTTACCTGCAGAAAAAGCCAGGGGGTCCTTCACACTGCCGTGAGGGACCCCACCTCCCCCAGGAAGTGGCAAAGGAACAAGACAGTTTTCCTGCCTAGGTGGGTTAAATTGTGTCACCCAACTTAGAGGCAAACTTTTTCCTTAAAGCAGAGAGCTCAGGGTGTTGCTGCTTCAGGGTGTTGCTGTTGCGGTCCTCTTTGTCTGTGGAAGCCATGCATACATCCACCTTTCCCTGGAAATCCTGCAGCACCCCTTTGCCTCCTGGGTGCCTTTAGACAGCCTTCTAACAGCATGGAGAGATGCATCACTGTGGGCTCTTGTGCTTTGAGCTGGGTGCAGTGGAACACAGCACCACAGTAACAGCCAGCTCTTGCACCCACAGATCAGGACCCTGGTTTTAGTGAGGATGAGAAGTTGCATTGTATCTCCTGTGCAAAAGAGAGGCCACCTCA